CGTGCGAATGATGGCGACGAGATGGTGATAGAAACAAGGAGGCGGAGTTACGTTTCTGGTGGTGGTCGGGAGCGAGCGCGAATGTGAATGGGATGGACTGGATGGTTTGGCTGATTGAATGAATGAATGGTGCAGTCAGGCACTTTTGTCACCTTTGGGCTTAGTGCTATGCCGCCCGCCGCTGTGGTAGCCCGTTGGAGATTGGATGACGAGGTGGATGGGGCACTTCAGGCGGTTGCTGTTCTAAAGACTGGGGGCTGCGGGCAACTTAAACCACTAATAAAGGAAGACAAGGAGCCGAATACAGAGGAGCATCAAGATACCCCAGTTTGCCCAGCCTCGTTGAAACCCAAGAAATGGAAGATCACGGCGAGGATTACATAGGTACTGTGACGGTGGGTTTTTTATGGCAGCCGTTATCATACAGGGGACGACTAGTCTGCCTCGAAGCGACAAAAAAAGAAACCGAATGGGTCAATCGATGGAATGAAATTATCAGCGGAGTCAAGCCAACATTAGAATGATTAAAGCTTTATTATTAGGTCCTTACTGGCACGAATTTACGAGATCGTCTGCTAACTTGGGTGGACCTCAGGGTGTAAGAAGACTTCTGACGTTAAACGACGGGGTTAAAAAAAAACCTAGTCTAAGATCCTCTATGTATATCTCTACTAAATTACACTAAGTTTACCTAAGGCTTTTTGTCACCTAGGATAGAAGTCCTAAGTTTTATTACACCCCCTTGGTAGTGCACGGAATGGACGTTTATAGAGCACGTAAATTAAAATCCACGTTGATAATTATCCCAATTAGCCTCGAGACATGGATCAAGAACTGGCCATTACTATTTTTGACATATCCTTGCTTTTCATCCTGGAGAGATGGGGTTTATTGTTCTACACCTCGGGACAAGACAAAGCAGAAAAGAGCTTCAAGTCTATCGAGTCAAGATACCCGTGAACTCGCGTGTCCTTCTGTGTTAGGCCCCCTCCGATGTTGCACATAAGGTACTGTAATTATTCCTGGAGCCTTGGAGATTGATCACCTGAATTACGGCCGTCGAAGAGTTTACTGTTTGGTCAAGGGGGCTTAGTGCCTCGGTCCTCGTCACCTAATTATCCACTAGGATGAACCCTTTCGACACCTCGTGATAACTTTACCTTTACGGCACTGGCCTCAACGTCACGAACTGCGAACCCAGCATAACAGGTGGCTTTCTTGGCCCCTTATATCTCCTCGTCGCTGTAACATGTAACCGAGTTTTACACAGCATCCAACGCAAATGTCACACGTAAAACACGGATTCCAAGTTACACATACACACGTGCGACCATGGATGTGAACGAAGAGACAGCAACGCCTTTATTAACTTGCTTTTGATAGGACGGGTGACGTCGACCATGACACGTCTTTTAGGATGCCAGGATTTCAAGTGCCGACCATGAAACGGCTGTGAGTTGCTGACCAAACCACCCATTCTTCCAGTGGCCGTCTTGAGTCTGTGCAGTCGCTGCAGTGTTCCAAATCTCTAGATGATGGTGTATAGAAGCGCTCAGTTATTGCGGTGTCTAGCAATGAATGGCAGAACGGTAACAGGTAGTAAGGGGTTCAATGCCGTCATTCCCGCTCAACCTCGGCTCCACTTGATTGCAGAATAAGATGATTGGATTTGACATACGAGATATGATTCAGACTTTGGAGCTATAAAGAAACTACGGAGATGGAATTTTGATACGAAGAAATGGTAGCAGTTGTAGGTACCTACCTAGACTTAGTGGTGGCCTTTACGAGCTGCTAGCAGAGGTTGCTGATGAGAGGAGTATGCAATTATCGTGTAGATCACCAAGATGATTAAAACATGAAGAACCCTTATTATGGACTTAATACATTCTACACCAAGCAGCCCGAATAAATTAGATATACTAGCAATATACGTCTCTTGATCAGAAAGCTCTCGATTAACTTGCGATATACATACATACATACAGGCCATGATTGTGATAGAGATTCAGTCCCAGTAGAAGTGTATACTCAACGCATATCAATAGTTATCTTATATTTAAGCAAAAGGCTTCTTTACCTCCTTGTGTCAATATATTTTTTGCTGATCCTGTAGCTAGAAGAGCTTCTCAAAGTCCAACTTCAAGCTCAGCCACATATGAAGCCACACAACTAAAACAGTTTGGCTGGTCAGCCTGGTCTTGACAAAAGAGCCAACGTGGCGGATCAGATTCACTGACTGCACTGAACTGAGCCTACCTTACCTACTACCCCTGCCCCTCGACCAGACTGGACCAGTCTGGAACAAGCCAACGACACGACACGTTCCCCAATCATTCAATCAATCCAATCTCCTTTCAGACGCAGCGACAACCAATTCAAATCAAACCTCATTTGTCTCTGGCATTCTTTGTTGCGCATCTACGGTACCGTTTAACTTAGCTCTCTCTCTCTCTCTCTCTCGCCTTTTTCTCCATTTCGTACCAATCCCGAGGCTTCGCGACACTTTAATTCTCTCTTACGAATCGCACAAAGAAGCACTCCTTTCTAATTATCCTGCTCTTCGTTCGTCCGCGTCACCCCTCGACGTTCCGTTTCGCCTGCGCTGCCAACCGAGACCTGATCCGGATCCTTCCACATCCACGTTCGATATTCGTAACTCGATACATCTCCAGTGAAACACAAGTCGCATAGGTGGCATATTTATCGCTGCTATCTATCAATCACATCGATCCCCCGACTCTTTTCGAGACACGAAGCCGCGCTGGCCGCAGTCTGACATCTCGGCTTTTATCCTTAACCCCTCTTAATTTGGCCACCATGGCTGTCGCATCTATTCAAGACCGAACCTCCGAGTTCAAGTCGGTACTCGCCCAAGCCCAGCGAAAACAATCCTCCTCAAAAGTCAGCTCCCAGCGCCGGTCTCTATTGACTGATGCGCAAAGAGATGCCGCCAACGGTCATGCTGGAGGTCCTCCAAGACGATCCGAGTTCGCCCGGAAGGCTGCTGAGATTGGACGTGGCATCTCTGCGACTATGGGCAAGTTGGAAAAGCTAGCTCAATGTGAGTACTATCTGCCAATCTCGGCGACGCGAGTGCCCGCTGTAGTTCATAGTACTAACCTCGAGAAATAGTGGCGAAGCGACGAACACTTTTCGACGACCGTCCCGTGGAAATCAACGAGCTTACTTTCGTCATCAAGCAAGATCTCTCGTCTCTGAACCAGCAAATTGGAGCTCTTCAAACACTCACCAAGCAACAACACCCCAAGGCCGATCAGGAGGGCGAGCACAACAAGAACGTCGTCTACCTACTACAAGGCAAGCTCACTGACGTCTCGGTCAACTTCAAGGACGTTCTGGAAGCCAGAACCAAGAACATCCAGGCATCGCGATCAAGAACAGAGAACTTCATCTCCTCTGTGTCGCAACATACTCAACCATCGATTCAACAGTCGGCTTCTCCTCTCTATGGAACACCAGCTCGCAACTCACCCGCACCAGGAGCTCAAGATACCTTGTCTCTCAACCCCGTTGGCGATCAACAGCTGCTGATGATGGAAGAGGCACAGCCCTCCAACACATATATCCAACAACGAGGCGAAGCGATTGAGGCTATTGAGAAGACCATTGGCGAGCTTGGCAGCATTTTTGGACAACTAGCCACCATGGTTTCGGAACAGAGCGAGATGATCCAGCGCATTGACGCCAACACAGAGGACGTGGTCGATAATGTTGAAGGGGCCCAGCGAGAGCTCCTCAAGTACTGGAACCGAGTATCAAGCAACAGAATGTTGATCGCCAAGATGTTTGGAACGCTAATGATTTTCTTCCTGTGAGTTCACCTTTTGTCTCTGGGACACTACCAACTACGGCCAAGGATGATGAGCAGTTACTAACAAACTGTAGGATCTGGGTTCTTGTTTCGGGCTAAACCTTGACGACGAAACGCAACACAACACAAGACACGAGAAAAAGAGGCGGGCGCGGAAAACTTGGACCAGGGAAGGGAGTTTAACGGCACATGTTTGGTTGTAATGGGGTACTATTCGATAGGTGCACTTCTTTTCCATATGTACGTATGTTTGTACCTTATACTTTGTAGTCGTTTTTTCTTTAGAGATGGATTGGAACGAAGTAGCATAGAGGGCAAGGGTCTTGCAAGAAGACTCTCGTCGATGGCTCATCTCATGTTGGGGGTTTCAGGATTAATAATGAATCAGTAGATCCTCAATTGCATAGACTTACATATTGGGTGACAGAGTATCAGGCATTTCTAACGAGTGGAATTGTTCGTGATTGGTCTCATGGGTTTGACAGACGACTTCAGAAGCAACCCCCACGCTGATGGGAGTGGTATATCACGGCCAGGATATGAGATATAGCCTGTATAGCATCATCAGTACAGGATATATAAAGAGGCAGAGTCGGCCATCGGCCCTTCAACTATTCCTACTCATTTCACCAGCATAATCTCGGGTGTAGACATTTCCCGGCATTCTCAGAAAGGACAACAATTCCATAAACAGCGTCTTTCAACCTTTGGGGGCATCGTCGGCCGGAGTTCTCGCCGACCTCTCTACCACTCCAAGTTAGCCTCAACTCACAGTCTCACCATCTCAGGGCCTCGGAGCAACCCCACCCCGAGAAATCTCCATCGATCAGCGGCTTTTCCGTGTAAACTGCACCCCAAACTTGCTCTAAGAGGCAAAAATGCCCCTCGAGCTCGGTGACATGCCTAGCGCTTTGGCGGGGTGAACCCCGCCAAAGATGAGCGTGTACATTGGGGGGCTTTGTTTTATCGAAGAATAAGGTGCTGTAATAGAGTAGCTCGGTAGATCAAGCTACGTAGGCATGAGGGGCATTGGGCCATGTTCATGATGTGGCAGCGGTTTATAACCTGCACGTCTCCCGCCTCAGTACGAGCTTCTTCTCTTGTGTTTTGTTCTAGATCGCTCTCATCTTCTTCACGAAACCCACTCTCTTACAAGATTCACACAATGGCTCCCTCTACCTTCAAGCTCAACACTGGCCAGGAGATTCCTGCTCTTGGTCTCGGTGCGTTGTTTTCACATGTTTCAACTCTCAAGAGCTCAATTGGCTGACTTTTGCTGCTTGTAGGTACCTGGCAGTCTCCCGCCGGTGAGGTCGAGAAGGCCGTTGCATACGCTCTCAAGGACGGCTACAAGCTGATCGACTGCGCCTACTGCTACGGAAACGAAGAAGAGGTTGGTGCTGGTCTTAAGGCTGCTTTTGAGGCTGGTGTCAAGCGCGAGGACATCTTTGTTGTCACCAAGGCCTGGGCTACTTACAACACCCGCCCTGAGCTTGGTCTCGACAAGAGCTTGAAGGCCCTTGGTCTTGACTACGTTGATCTCTTCCTTGTGGTAAGTTACTAGTTGGAATATCTCTTGAGTTGGTGTGCTAAATCGTTATAGCACTGGCCTCTTCTCCTCAACCCCGAGGGTAACGACGACAAGTTCCCCAAGAAGGCTGATGGTTCCCGAGATGTTATTCGAGACTACAACCACGTCGAGGGCTGGAAGCTCATGGAAAAGCTCCCCGCTACTGGCAAGACCCGTGGTGTCGGTGTCTGCAACGTATGTACTCACGCGTTCAGTCCGTCAAGACTCAGCTAACAACCGGTATAGTACAGCAAGAAGTACCTCGAGGAGCTTCTGCCTCATGCCACTATCATCCCCGCCGTCAACCAGATCGAGAACCACCCCAGTCTTCCCCAGCAGGAGATTGTTGACTTCTGCAAAGAGAAGGGCATTCACATTGAGGCCTACAGTCCCTTTGGCAGCACTGGTGGCCCCGTCATGACTGCTGAGCCTGTTGTCAAGATTGCTGAGAAGAAGGGTGTCTCTGCTTCTACCGTCCTCCTCAGCTACCATGGTATGCCTCATGAATTTGATGGAGAAATCAACAATGCTAACGATCTTGTAGTCGCCCGTGGCAGCACTGTGCTCGCCAAGTCCGTCACCCCCGAGCGTATCACCGCCAACAAGACCATTGTCGACCTCGACGACGAGGACATGAAGGCTCTGAACGACTACTCGGAAAACCTTGTCAAGAAGGGTGAGGTCAAGCGATATGTCTACCCTCCCTTCGGCATCGATTTCGGTTTCCCCGACAAGTCATGAATCAAAGGTCGGCTATAGTATATGATATTGGGATAAAGATGAGATATGATGAAAAGCGGCATTAAATGATATTGCATCGATAATAGATCAGAAGCTCAAGTTGGCTTCATGAATAGAAAGAGTTAAAGCCTTGAATACTCGAAGTTGCTTAAGGTGCTAGTGTTTGCATTGAAGTGTCATTGCCATGATGCTTCGAGGACCATATCATAGCAGCATGTCGTGCGATGCTCCTAGATCGGACTACAATGAGATCTGCCGAACTGAGATGCTGCTTCTGTGAGTCTGGCCTGGAATGCTAGTATGTAAATTCCTGCATGTCCAAAAACTGGTGATTTCGTTTGCATCTTGGTGGAAGACTTTGTGGCTGTTAAACATACAACTCTCCGGACACCGTCGTCATGAGCTTGTTCACTCATCAGTCAGGTATCTCATGTGTAGCAGCGGGAAAGGTCAAGGTGCAGTGTTAACTTAGTCAAACGTCTCAATTATGCCAGAAACTAGGTATCTATAATCCTCAAGACCCATACAACACGCCTTTTACCCCATTCATAAAACCCTCACTGTCAACTCCCAGAACAGGTATTAATTTACAACCGGCCTTTGAGTCATTTTTCGTTAAAGTCGACAACTACCTTGATAACAAGGTTGCCTTGCTCGTCCCTCACCTTGCCAGCCATCTTGAAAGCCTCCTCAATGTTCTCCATGCCGTTGTATCTTTGAGTTACTAGACGACTCACGTCAGGCATGTTGGCAGGAGGGTTAGCCAATAGCTCAATGATCTCCTTGTATGTGTTGGCGTAGCGGAAGACACCCACGATGTCAACTTCGCGAAGAGCAGCGGCCGACATGGGAATGGTGAGGACGGGAGTTCCCATGCCAATGATCATGACCTTGCCTCCAGGCTTGGTAGCGTAGATGGCTGTTTGCACGCAGGTCTCAACACCAGTGCACTCATACACAGCTGTAACCTCACCGACAGCCTCTCCGTTGACCTGTGTCTCCTTCACCATAGCAGCGACCTTTTGGGCAAAAGCGAGCTTGTCCTCGATAGTTTGTGGGCGCTCCATGGGAACGACTACTGAAGCATCGGCGAAGCCGTTGTTGATGGCAAAGTCAAGACGGTCCTTGAGGATATCGGCGATGATGACGGTCTTGGCTTGGTCTGCCTTTGCGACAGCGGCTGCAAGAAGACCGACGGCGCCGGCGCCGAGAACGAGGACTGTTGAGCCCTTGGGGAGAGCGGCGCGATCACGAGCGTGCATTGCGACTGAGAGAGGCTCAACAAGAGCGCCGAGATCGAGAGTGACATGTTCAGGCATCCTGAGCAAAAGTCAGTACATTTCTCACCTCACAAAGATTAGATTGTCTTACTTGTGACACCACTTGGCAGGGTGGTTGATTCTCTCCTGTAGAGTTCCCTGTGCATGAGGATTGGCCTTGGCTGAGCTGCGGAACTTCATTCCACGGCAAATGTTATAGCGGCCCTCACCACAGAGCTCACAAGCTTCACAAGGCAGACCAACCTCGAGCGCGACATGGTCGCCAGGCTTGAGATGTGTAACTTCTGAGCCGACAGCTACGACTGTGCCTGCGGACTCATGGCCGAGGGTGAGAGGTTCGCGAACGATAATATCGCCGTTGCGGAAGTGGTTGTAGTAGTGAAGATCGGAGCCGCAGAGGCCGGTTGACTTGACAGCGACTTGGACTTCATTGCTGGAGGGTGCTGGAAGTTCACGTTCTTCCTGTCAACTGAGTCAGTCCGCGATCTCAAGTACAATTGAGTAATGGTGTTTACCAGACGGAGATCCTTCTCTCCGTGGAGGACGGAGGCCTTGACACGCTCAGTTGCCATGATGAAGGTATGAGAGAGGCGAAAATGGTGATATGAGGAAGGGAATGATTAAAGAAGAGTAATTGAGTAGTTGCTGAACTATTGTGACAAAAAATATTCAGGAAATGGTCAATGTTACAGATGCAAAAGTTACTGGAAGATCATGGACCAAGACGAGAGCGAGAGGTGGGTTACTAAAGGGCGAAGCCAAACAAGGACATTCAAGCCAGCAGGGCCGATGTCGACCAAATATCGGGTTGGACAGAAGCTAACTATAGGTAGACTACTAACCTACAATCCCTTATTGATTCTCAGAGTCTCGTCGCGGAGAGAGGGCCGAGATGGCCTTGACCTCGGAAGAGGCGCCCCACGATGTGTACTAGTTAGCATTGAAATGCCCCGCGGCGAGACGTCCCATGACGTACAATGCCCCCATGACAGCAAAAAAAAGAAGAGAGAATCTTTATCCGCAGTGGTAGAGCCAGTGCTAGCGTGCCCCCACTGCCCTGTATCCCGCGGGGTGAAGCGCTAAAGACTGAGCCGTTGATCCACTGTTTTGGAGATGTTGGAGAAGCCCAGGGAGGGAAATGTTGGCCGACTCATGAACTGGATGGAAGAAAATGACCAGATCTGCCTCTCATAGGGATGGGTTGTTTTTTGAACACTCAGTAGCTATGAATGATGGGGATCTGTTAGGTCTGTACTATAGGGCTACGAGTTGCCAGTCTCTAGCGATATCTCATGATACAGAATAGCATCACCCCTCTGCGGGGATCCAAAGCTCGTCTTCGGCCTTCTCTCCGACCTTCGCAAGCCGGTTGAATGTGAACCTACAGAGTCAAGCAAAGCTGCAGTACGAACGAACAATCAATCAATTGGCCAGTTCTAGTCCGGTCCAAATCACCAATTTTGAGCCAATCCGGTTCCTCCTAAGTCGGAGCTCAGAAGCTTACCCCTTGGTCATTAATAGCGTAGTACCCCAGCACATTCATCCCGTCATCTCGTGGTGGAACTGAACTGCCCCTCGTTGAATAAACCCTCCAAAAAAACATCACCAATTGCTCACGACGTCAATAACTAATATCTCAAAATGTCTGCTTCTTTCTTCTCCCTTGAGGGCCAAACTGCTCTCGTAACTGGCGGTACGCGCGGTATTGGCCAGGCCGTAGCAATTGGTCTTGCTGAAGCTGGTGCCGATGTTGTTCTTGTTCAGGTACGGAACGTCTCATGATGAGGCCAGAACTCGAGACTAACTGGACATACAGCGAGATACTACATCACAATCAACAAAGGAGTCGATCGAGAAGCTTGGCCGAAAGGCTTTTATCTACACTGCTGATCTATCATCGCAAGAATCGGTTGCTGGACTTGTACCCAAGGTGCTCGCCGATGGACATCAGATTCGCATCTTGGTGAATTGCGCTGGTATTCAGCGACGACATCCTTGTGAAGTCTTCCCTGACAGCGACTTCAACGAGGTATGAAAGACCAATTCTTGTCTCATAACATATCTAACGAGCTACAGGTCATCCAAGTAAACCTCAACTCCGTTTTCACCCTCTGCCGTGACGTCGGCGCCCACATGCTCAACCTCGAACCCTCCCCCATCACCGGCCGTCGCGGCAGCATCATCAACTTCGCCTCCCTCCTCACCTTCCAGGGCGGCTTCACTGTCCCTGCCTATGCTGCCTCCAAGGGTGCAGTAGGCCAAGTCACCAAGAGTTTCGCCAACGAGTGGACCTCAAGGGGTATCACGGTAAACGCCATTGCTCCCGGTTACATCGCTACCGATATGAACGAGGCTCTTCTCGCAAACCCAGAACGTCTAGCTAGTATTACTTCCAGAATTCCTGCTGGTAACTGGGGTTCACCGGATGACTTCAAGGGTACGGCTGTGTATCTGGCGAGCAAGGCCAGCGGGTATGTGAGTGGACATGTGTTGGTTGTTGATGGTGGTTGGATGGGCCGATAAACGATTCGCTCCAAGGTGGTCTCTAGAGCAAGCTTAAAAATAGATTATAATATGATATCTTTGGTGTTTTTGCAAAATCGGAATGTCGAGTGATTAACGACGGGCGCGAACAAGTCTTCGTCTGGCCAGGCGAAGGGAACCGTTTGGGTCGATGAAGGTCGTGACTCGGTTTGTCAGATGCCTGACGATATGGAAAGCATCAGGGTTCTTGGATCGAACACTGTAGTAACCGAATTAACAAGTATTCTACAGTGGTAGGTAGTTATCACTCACAGCAATTGTAAGGCCGCGATTCGGACTTTGATGAAGGAATGGCTCAGCTCGTCAGGCATCTTGACGCTGGCTTGAGGATTTCGACGTAAAGACTTTGGAGAAGTGGTCGAGACAGAAGATGTTCAGCTGGGTGGCTGTAGCTCACAATTCGGCTTCTAAGCAGGTTTTATGCGCAAACTGTTCGGCCATTTACATGTGCGTGCTTCGAATCGGAAGCCGAATATGGAACCTCACTCAGCTGATGGTTCTTGTCATACAGCAGCTTACATGGATTTCCTCCGAATGTCTCTGGTTACCCGCAAGATCTCACTCGTTCCGTCACTCGGTAACTGTGCAAACAGTGCAAGAAATGTCGTCTATATTCTCCCGTCCATACCTATCTACCTCTAAATCCGTCCAATATTGTATCCTCTTTAGATTTTGCTTCCTGCGCCATGCGAAACCGCATCAGCCTCTGTGCAACGCACACAAACGATAACAAAAGGAAACATGCGCATGCGCCACGCATACACATACACATACGCATACGCATACGCATACGCATTTCATAATATCGTAGAATTACTTAATGAAATCACTGGGATTTACCCTTTGAGCCCTCATAGTAGTGGGCCATCTGGAGGCCTGCTCTTCGGAAGCCACACTTGACGTAGAAACCCTCGTTGGCTTCGCTGCAGTCGAGAATGCTCTTGTAGCAGCCGACTTGCTCGGCGATGTGGTCGAGGGCTTGGATTATTCGGAGACCGAGCTTCTTGCCCTGCTGGTCCTTTGCGACGGCGATATCTTCGATGTGGCCTACGGCACCCAGGCTGTGAATGCTACAGAGTGTTAGGGGACGTCTGGCAGACATTGAAGACCATTGACTTACAACTTGCGCTCGGTGATCAAGGCGCCAGTCCCGACAACAGGCTTGTCACCTCGCGA